ATTTCCCCTTGACTGAGAATTGAGGTAAATTTGGAAAATTTTAAAATAAATACAAAAGCAAACATTGTATGTTCCCCAGCAAGATTTTGTCGGTCGGTCAGCTGCCAAAGCTAGAAAATGGTCCCAAGTTGAGTAAATACAATGTTGCCAAAACCGAAAATAAAACAAAGGAGTGTAACCAACAATTCCGGTCAATTTGAATAGTAAACCAAAAAATTAATTTGTAATAAAGTTAAGCAGGAAAGGGAGGGTAGGTTCAAGTGGAGTGGGTGAGTATTTCAGAATACAGAATACTGGGTGGGAGGTCAGTTATAGCCTTAGGATTTTTTGTAAATTAACAATTTCAAATTGTTATCGTTGGAGTTAAATAGAGGCTATTTGCAGGAATATGTTTGCCACGTCATTTCCGTATCACATTTCTTTTAAAAAAGAAAATAATGGTTCGTAATTTTGCTGGTAATGATATGATGAAGTAACATTTTGTTTTAAATAGGATGAGTATATGTACAAATTTATGTACAGTTGTGATGCAGGACAAGAAATTATGTTACTATATTTTTAATTAATTCATGCTATAAATTAATTTTAAATTTTATGGAAATCGAATTTTTGAACTTCCAAAAAAAAACTATCCACATTATTTAATCATGGCACGATTAAATTAAGGTAGCTATATTTCAAATAATAATTAAAATAAATAATAATATTCATCTCTGCATTTTTCTGTAATTTATCTTGTCAAATTTAAATTCATTGAAAACAAGTCCCCGTCTCTGATTTGTAAATAAGCGTTTTGACAATGAGTTGTTGTCAAAAGTTTAACAAATTGGCAAACATATAATTGCATTATGTTACCTTCTTAATTTTACCATGAATTCAATATTACATTTATAAAAAAAAAAAATTTTAACATTTTCCAAGAAATCTCCACCAAACTTAAATAATAATCAAATTGATTATTTGAATTGAAAAATTCTAAAAAAATTCAAAATACCAACCAGTAAGGAAAGGTTAAAGTCAGGCGTCTATATGATATCCTACACTAATATGCGTATTTAGTAGAGATTTTGTAGTAACTATGAAGATTGAATGGTCACATGGGTTTAGAGTAGTCACAATTTGGGAACTATATTAAAATCTGAATCAGTTTTACCGAGGCTTTGCCACCTCCACCAATTAACATTGAATTATATTAAAACCAGTAAAAACCAGTAAAGAAAGTCCTAAAGTCGGGCGGGGCCGATTTTATGATACCCTACATCACTTTGCTAATTTAGTAGAGCTGCGCATAACAATTAAAATTTTTATGGAAGAATTCAATCATACACGCTATGATTATAATTATAATTTAAAGTTCAAAGGACTAAATATGCCGAAGCATTTGTATCTTTTAAATTCGGACTTTTATTGCCCATTTGGAGCACAATTAAACTGAAATCGGATAAAGATATATATGGGACCTATATCCAAATCGGAACCGATCTCGATAAAATTTGGCAAAGATATTTCTGAGCTGTATTTGATATATTTCCCTAAATATCGTTGTTATGGAGTGCATATTACGGTTGTGGGTAACAAATATAACAAATCGGATGAACAGTATATATGGGAGCCATAGCTATATCTGAACCGATCTTCACCAAATTTGACATACTAGCAATTCGGTCGTAGATGCCAAATTCCATCCCATTTGGACAAATATTAGACGTTCGGTGCACAATAAAAAGTAAATCGGACGAAGTTATATATGGGAGCTATATCCAAATCTGAACTGATCTCGATAAAATTTAGAAAATGTATTTCTGAGCTGTATTTGATATATTTCCCCAAATATTGTTGTCACAGAGTGCATATTACGGCTGCGGAGGACAAAAATAACAAATCGGATGAACAATATATATGGTAGCTATAGCTATATGTGAACCGATTTTGATCAAATTTGGCATACTTATTTTCGACATAATTTGGTTGTATGTTCAAAATTCCATACTATTCGGACTGATATTACACGTTTTGTGCAGAATAAAATCAAATCGGACGAAGATATATATGGGAGCTATATATAATTTTGACTGATTATCTGCAATTTCAATAGTGTTCGTCCTTGGGCCAAACAAATGATTTGTGCAAAGTTTCATCTGAATAGGGCAATAAATGCAAGCTGTACTTTGTTTACAAAAATACGTGGACAAACGAACGGACGGACGGACATGCATAAATCGACTCAGAACGTTATTCTATGCAGATCATCAAAAGAAACTATGGGTCTATCTCGTTTCCTTTTGCCTGTTACACACAAATGCACAAATACATAATACCCTGACCACCTTGTGGTGTAGGGTATAAAAAAGTTTCACCAAATGGAAAAATTCGGATGAATATGAAAAAATATATCCAATTTGAGCTGATATTAGTCATTTGGTGAACAATAAACCTGATACCGGATAAAGACATATATGGGAGCTATATCAAAATCTGATCCGATCTCGATAAAATTTAGCAGAGGCATTTCTGGGCGGTATTTGATATCTGGTACCAAATATGATTATTTTACAGTGCATATTGTATATATGGAAGCTATAGCTTTATATGAACCGATTTTCAACAAATTTGTACTTGCTTTTAGAATTCAGTCGGATGTGCCAAAATTCTAGTTATTTGGACTGGAAATCTTTTGAAGATATATATGGGAGATAAACAGGGTGAGATAAAAAACAACAAAGTCAAACGCCATAATTTTTACATTTGTTTTAATTTTATTAAATGAAAGCAAATAATGTCGGAAATAGCATGAACATTTAGAATAAGTTTAAGCCTTGGGACGAATTACGGCCTTCAAACGACCAATGAAACTGCGGTGTAAGTTCTTGTACTTTTTCGAATTTTAATGACTTTAACCTGAGCTCATTTTTATACCTTCCAACACTATGTGTTGGGGGTATTATAAGTTTGATTGGGCCAGAATTTATGTAACACCTCGAAATATTGGTTTCTCATATAGGAAAGTATATATGGATCTTCCTAGCTCGCCGAGCTGAGTCGATCTAGCTACGTATGTCCGTCCGTCCGTCTGTCCATGTTAATTTGTAAACACGCTACAGGTAGCAATTTCGGTCCAATCCTTACGAATTTGAAAATGAACGTGGGGTTAAGGTCAGAATAGAACCCTATTTCTTTTGGAGATGATCGCCAAATGTTTAGGTCTTGAAATGGACCAAATACTGAAAAAATGTCGGATTTTGCAGTAGCTATACAGGTCGCAATTATAGACCAATCGACGCGGAATTTAGCGGGTAAAATAGACCATATCTTTTTTGTTGAAAAAATTCAAAATTTTTCATTAAACCGCGAATATTTTAAATCCCGGCGAAAACACAAAGCCATGACAAGGTTACTTCTGATCTTTACATTGATGTTAAGATCCAACAAATCAAATATATAGCAAAATATGTGCGATATATATGTCTATCAAAGAAAGATCTCATATATGTCGAGAACGGCTGAACTGATTTCGACGGTTCTCATTAATTCAGAATGGCCTCTTGATAGGAAAGAAAAAAACGTCTAAAAAATCGCATAAAAATACCTCTCTAAAGATAAAAATATTGATTTTGAAACATTTTTTCATATTTTTTCAATTTTGTCATATTTTTGGCACATTTTCATTTTGAATTAAACATTTGTTAATATTTCTACAGCTAACAAAACTAAGTAGTTAGGATATCAGGATATCATGTACAGATCGCATTTATGGCCCGATCCTTACGAAATTTTGCATGGGGATAAGATGAGGGTCAGAATAGAAGCCTACTATTTTCGGAGATGATCGCCATATATTTAGGGGTTGAAATGGACCAAAAAACTGCAAAATTGTCAGGAGGTCGTAATTATCGCCCGATCCTCACGCACATTTGAATGGGGTTTACCGGACATTGCAAAAGCCAAGCAGTTTTGGATGGCCATCCAAAAATATTCAATGTATGAAGGAGTTTGCCAACTTTTGTAGACAAAATACGAAAATGTCCATTCCAGTGACTTTTTGGAGAATTCACAAATACAGGAAAGACGCACTTCTGACTATTTCGTTAATCAAATTGGAAATATATATAAACTGTATCGTTTATTATAGTGTTGTAGGGTATTCAACGGTCGACCCCGCTCGACTGTAGCCTTTGCTTACTTGTTCAATATTAGCCGAATGAAATATTGCGATATGTTCAGCTATTTTTCGCCCACTGCGGCGAGGGTTTCGATCAAGTCGCTTCTTTACGTTTGGAACCAATTCTGTTGATGTTGCTGTTTTCTTTCGCTCACTTCCTTGACGTCGGGCTACGCTACCAGTATCACGGTAACGACCGATGATACGAAACCCAAAAGATTTATACGCATTTAAATGCTGGAATGCTCCAACGACAGTCACTTGTGGATTTCCAGTCAAATATTAATAAATCACACTATCACGCTTGAATTCCATTACGAATAACTTTGTAAACAATATAATGAGCTGTCACTGGAATACTATTAACAGCTGTCGGACGAGTGATTTAGGAATGATAACAGTCTGTTAGAATAAATACATTCCAGGCTCAAACTCTTTTCGCCAAGAAGCATGTCGAGTTGGTATACGATTTTGGTAAGGTCGGTAGATTGGTATATACCGATAACACTCTGGTCAGACATTTCAAGCACAATATCTCCCTCGAGAACGCAGATCGGCTCGTTGAGATATATGTGACTTGTTTTATTTCCGAAAAGTCATTATATTTTATCAATAGAAAATCTCTTGTTCTTCTTCCTTTTATCCAATCAAATGTTTTTCCTCGGTTTTCAGGACGAACACAGTGGACTATCGGTCTTCAAGTGAAGTAAGCGCCGCTCTTTATAGTCATCAAGAAATAAATAAAACCGTTATTATTTATTCATAATTTTTCCATCGAAATCTGTAGACCTCAATTATTCCAATAATTGAATCAAATAACATTTAATAAAAATTCATGTGGGTAAATAAGTTATTATTTATTATTAATTTATGTTATATGAAATAATGAGAAATATTGGCAATAAAATAAAGAAGTCAAACTAACTAAATAATGAAATATCAACTAATTTGAGTAAATGATGATTTTCCGCTTCTTTCACTTCCTTCTACTGAATATTTTTTGGTTTAATGCATTCGTAAGTATGTATATTGATATGTATGTATGTACGTAACTTAAAAATAAAGCCAGCAAAACTTTGGTTTATTTCGCAGCGATCCTGCCGCTATCGTCCAACCAACTACTGTCTGCCATTGGGTACAGCTTTAATGGGTTTCGGTGTGACACGATCCTTTTTATCACGTTTCATATAATCGTAAGGATCACCACCGCCATTGATGTTGGCATTATTACTCAATGTCGGCGATGCTCCACTTGCTGCCTTATCCAATTTATAAGCACTTGCCAGACCTTTATTTGGGGCTGTCGAACCATCATATCGATCCCTGTTATAGCTGTTTGCATAATCATATGGTGTCCTAACAATTTCCGGTAAATGGGCATAGTAAACAATCCGCTTGTTTGGTCTTGTGTAGTCTAAGGGATATTTTGTAGGAGGATAATCGTTAGGATATTTATTCGGATAATCCATGGGATATTTTGCGTGATAGTCGGCTGGATATTTTGAAGGTAATGGATAACGATCTGAATAGGGGATTGGAGCATAAGAGGATTTCTCATACACTTCATTATTATACACTGGCAAATAGTCACGTGGTTCTGGAATGTCGTAACGACGATCGGGGTAGTTATAGTAGGGTTCTGGGTACTGTGGCATACGAGGGCTGTAGCTGTCGTATGGATCATAATGGCGACGATATAGGAAATGATCTTCGTAATTGTATGGGTCGTAACGGGAATATTGCTCATCGTATCTGAAAGCATAAAAAAATATAATAGTGAGAATATTTGAATTTAAAAACACTTGATAATATTACTAATAAGGAGAGGATATTGTATGATTCTCTTCCGTCTGTCTATTTTTCGAACAATAACAATAAAAAAGCTATAAGTTCGGCCGGGCCAATCTTTAAATACCCTCCACCATTTGGAATGATTTTGGCAATTTTCTAAAAAAATAAATATTCTGTTAAAATCTTAAAAATACCGAATGTAGCCATTATATTAAGGTCTATGCGACGAAGTAGTACCGTTATATTGGGAACCTACGAAGTCGTGGACCTACACAGACAATTTTCTGTCATAGGCTGCATTATCCATTACGAACTTCAAATACCAAATTTCAAACAAAATACCGAACATCGGGAGGTACCGTTATATGGCGGCTATATGAAGACGTGGACTTGCACAGACAATTTTCTGTCATAGGCTGTAGTACCCATTACGAACTTTAAATACCAACTTTGAAACAATTCCGGTGAATAATGTCGCTCAAATCATCAAAATACCGAACATCGGGAGGTACCGTTATTATACCGATTGTAGCTGTCATATTAAGATATATGCGACGAAGTGGTACCGTTATATTGGGACCATACGAAATCGTGGACCTACACAGACAATTTTCTGTCATAGGCTGTATTATCCATTACGACCTTCAAACACCAAATTTCAAACACAATATCGAAAATCGGGAGGTACCGTTATATGGCGACTATACGAAGACGTGGACCTGCACAGACAATTTTCTGTCATAGGCTGTAGTACCCATTACGACCTTCAAATACCAAGTTTGAAACAATTCCGGTGAATAATGTTGCTAGAATCATCAAAGTACCGAACATCGGGAGGTACCGTTATATGGCGGCTATATGAAGACGTGGACTTGCACAGACAATTTTCTGTCATAGGCTGAAGTACCCATTACGAACTTTAAATACCAACTTTGAAACAATTCCGGTGAATAATTTCGCTTAAAGCAACATAATACCCAAAAAAGGGAGGTACCAATATATGGGGTCTATACTAAACCGTGGACCTACATCACCCATTTTCAATACCAAAAGTCCTGCAGACATGATACACATTTGAGTAAAATTTTATCAACCTACTTTATTTCGTTCGGAAGCTAGAGTGATTTTCACAAACGGACAGACGAATAGATGGACAGACGGACGGACATCGCTAAATCGACATAGAATTTTATGCTGATCAAAAATACATGTACTTTCTGTGGTCTAAAATGTATATTTCGAGGTTTTACAAATGGAATGACAAACTTAATGTATCCTCCATACTATGGTGGAGGGTATAAAAATATACGGCATAAATATGGCACACACCATTGAAGTTAGAAGATCACACCTTAATATAGCCACAATAAAAGAGTACGGAAAATTATGTGTAGATCGAAAACTAGCATAATAAATATTGAAATGATAAATTAATTATTTTCCAAATCGATACATAGTGTAACATGATTTACCTTTCGCTGTCACGAAAAAAACCGCTTAAAATAGTATACCTATATCATCATTGTTTTACTTATGTCTATTACAAATACTCACCGATCATAACGTCTAAGGTATGGATCATATGAACGTGATGGATACAATTCATAGTTGTAAGATGGCGTTAGGGGACTGACTTTCTGATCATAGGTATTTTTAATTATTGCTGGAGGAATTTTCGTCACCACCGGTTCGGGCAAGTCTTTAGCTGGCGAGTCATTATCTTTACGTGGCTGGGTTATAAAATTTACACGAGCTTGCCTCGATCTGGCTGCATAACCACTAGTAGCATCGGCCATGGTATCATCGTCATCTGTCGATGGTGATAAATTTACCGAATCTTTCCACATTGGGGAAATATGACGCTGAGAGTAGTAATCATAATCTGGATCCATAATTTGTTTCTCTGCCTTTGGTAATGGTTGTGGTTCTTGACCTTCATCTTGTTGCATTCTAGCCTCTGGTTTTAATTCATCTTGTTGTTGGTGTGATTTTTGATTTTGCAACGACCCAGCTTGTGATGGACTATGTAACTCTATGCGATCACTTTCGACATTGTGTATTAGGCTTTCTTGAAGTTTTTTATTCAAATCATTTTTGGATATTAAACCCTTCGCTTGATCATATTCGAGCGTAGAACGTTTATTGCGTATGGCTTTGTTGACACCAGTTAGCATACTGCGTGCCTCATAGTAATTGGCATCGGTGCCGTAATATTCGGGTGATTCATCAAATTCATAACCTTCAAGAATTTCCACATCTTCGGGTATTTGTAAGGTTACAATAGCTTGCAAAAAACATGATAGCACAACAACCACAACAACAATGGCTGTTGGCCTCGAAGCCATGCGGCAGCAACACATTTTGCCTGCCTTGAAATTTCAGCGATGATCTGCAAATAATTTATAATTGAAGTTAAATTAGTCATACGATTTTTGTTCGTGTGCAAAAAATTAAGCGACTTATAATAAAGTGGATCATAATGGCAATGATCATGACAAACTATTATAGAATTTATTTTATAATAAGTCTAAGATACTTATGAGTAAAAACACCAATATCTTATTGAAGTGCTTTGAATTATAGCATTTTTATAAAAATTACCCAAAGTACAATCTTTTTCATCTATACACAACTCTGAAAGATAAAACCAATGACATTGGGAGGAGCCAGATCTCTACATTGTATGTGATTTAGACTATATTAAATAAATAAAATCGTGTACAAAAGGATTGTGTGAAATTCTTAAGAGGGTGCCAATGATCAGCGAGTGTTTCTTAGCTATAGTTATGTATGAGGTTCCCCGTGTGTTTGGTATTTTATTTATTGTACCAGAAAGTACACTTGAATAACTTTAAAAGTTTCGAAATGCGTTTCGAATTCATAACTCATTGCTTTGAACTGCCATGGGTTTAACACACAAAATCGAGCTTCTGATAATTAACACAAAGGTGTTCATACCATTCACCATGATGATTGCAAACATGTAATTGAAGGCTATAGTCGGGCAAGACTAAACATATAATACACTACATTTATATATTTTTAGGTAAAGTTTCTGTAGTTCTAAACTCTTTTGACTTGAATGAAAGAATCCTTCGAGATATTCGGATACATATTTGTACTACTTTAAACATAACTTCAAACATCTAGGGTCTTTCTCTAATTTTGGATTGGTAGAAGTAAATTTAGAGCATGTTGGGTTTGGGGGCTATACTTGGATCATTTCAAAGTATTTATCATAATTTTAAATAATTTGCCCTGATTACGGCAAAGTAATTTAGTAGATCCGGATAAAAACCATCAACTACAGGGTGAGATAAAAAAACTGCAACAAAGTCAAACGCCATAATTTTTAATTTTTTTGTTTTAAATTTTATGAATGAAAGCAAATGTCAGAAATAGCATCAAATTTCAAAATAAATTTAGATTTGTTCGTATTGGTAACCTTTTGCACGAATTATGACCTTCAAACGACCAAAGAACCCGTCACAGGCTGCCGGCGGCCCATTCCCGACGAAGCGCTTGCTTGAGGTGATCGACATTTTGGTACATTTTAGTGTTAACCTTGCTTTCCAAATTCTCCAGACACAATAGTCCAATGGATTGGTATCCGTAGATTTTGGTAGCCATTGTGCGCTGCAAATGAAGCGAGGAACCTCATTTTGTAACCATAATATTCGGCATTTATTCTGACCATCGGCGGTTTTGGCCGGCGCTTGGGTTCTTGTGGTCAACCGAAGGTGCACTTTTCAGCTGACCTCTTTGGCAAGTAAACACGATTATTTTGTTTGTTTACAAACTGCTAGACAACGAATTTTTTTCTCATCGGAGAAAAGCAAATTCGGCAGTTCACCACTTTCGGCCAAGCGAAGCAACACTTTAGCTCTTTTGAGCCTATTTTCTTTTTGTTTCGGTGTTAGTTCTTGCACTTTTTGGAATTTCAATGGCTTTACCCCGAGCTCATTTTTCAATATTTGCCGAGTGACCATTATCGGTCACTGCGACGCGTTTTTCGATCAAGTCGCTTCTTTACTTTTCGAACAATTTTTGCTGATGTTGCTGTTTTTTCCGTCCACTTCCTTGACATCGGGCTACGCTACCAATACCACGGTAACGAGCGATGGTACTAGACATAAAAGATTTGTTCACATTTAAATGCTGGAGTGCTCTAACGATAGCCACATGTGGTTTTCTAGCCAAATATAATGAAAACACACTATCACGCTTGAATTCCATCACGAATAACTTTTTTTCTGGAAAATTCTCACCAAAATGCTTTTGTACGCTTGTAAACTATATAATGAGCTGTTACTAGAATAATTTTAACAGCTGTCGGACGAGTGACTTAAATATGACAGCAGTCTGAAGTTGTTTGCAGTTTTTTCATCTCGCCCTGTACATTACGATCATCTTCAAAAGTTATAGGCTATTCTGACGCTAGTGCTGATAGCATGCAAGATTTTATAAGGACGGGCCAAAGTTTGCGCTTGTTGTTTGCTTATTTATACCTAGATCCACATGGTAGGTCTGGGGCCAATATTTGGAAGCTATACTGACATTCTGGCCCATTCAAAATTATAACAACCATTTTACAGACTGATGGAGCGTGTAAGTATGCCCGAAAGACCCGAATTCTAAATGTCAATACAGATTATATGCCTTTAAAGTCCTCAACATACCGATCCCTACAGCACAATAATTCGCGACAAAATCGTTGCAGACGTTAGTTCGAAGAACATTCCTCATATTAAATGCATTTGTATATTTTTGGTCCGCATTTCATTTAAACTGTAGGATTCTGTCGGTTGGATTCGGTCTATAAGGATTAGGATTCAATCTATAAGCGACTGTTAAATAAAAAATCAGTTTTTGGTTTATTCCAATCATCTCCAAGGCTTCTATTCTGACCCCATCTCTGAATCTAAAATCTGACCATAATTGCCACATGTAGAGTCATTATCATTTATGATAAACAGAAAGAAAAATGGACGGGCGGACACACGCATAGCTAGATTGACTCAGCTCGTTGAGATATGATGATCGATATGCCACATGGATGAATCTAGGACCAATCTTTCGAGGTGTTTCAAAACTTTGGCCCAATAAAATTTATAATACTCTCAAAATATTTAAAATTATATATTTAAAATCGGAAGAGGTGTTTAAAATAACAAAAATCGGAGATATAGGGGAATATCCCAAAATGTAAACGGAATTTGATTTCTTGTACAAATTATACTTCGATTTGGAATTTCAGATCTATTGGTTGACCCAACATTAATAACAATTTAATACCCTTTTCACAACCTATTAGTATTAATCGTACTCTTAACGTACTAATTTCCAAATTCCCATTTTATCTCACCGCTTTTCAACAAGAGGGACGCTACGCGAATTTTTAGCTGCTGCAAATCACTCAATAACTACTGTCTTCATATCCCCCCTTTATATCCTCCCCTTTTTTATACAAATATCAATTTGTTGAAAATTAGATGTTTGTGTTTTAAAAAAGTAGGATCAATAATTGATTACGGTATACAGGCCTTCAATGAGAAGATTTACAAATCTTTAATTAAAAAATCCACAGAGTTGTTATTAACAGGTCAACAAACATAACTTTCAGAATATCTTTAAGCTTTTTTTCTAAGGAAATTTACTGTTCTACTTTTAGATCTATAAGTCCTTTCGAGGATCTTAAAGTACACTTACCATAAACATCTTCCAATTACGTTTAGCAATGGGTGATCAGAAAAGCTGAAAATAACTTACAGGCGATATTCAAAATAAGCAATAGGCGAACTTCTGGTTTTTTTATGCTGATTTGGTTGACGTTAGGTATTTGCACAACGATTCCAGGAAAGTATTGTTTCTCCGACACTAACATATTTGAACCGAATGTCGGAGTCCGATACCTGGGTTAGACCCGGACCTATTGAAAATACCTGTCAAACAAGTGGCCACATGGCTATGTGTTATTTAAAATAATTCGGAAGTTGTTTTTAGATTATAGATTTTTTGGGCCCGAGTTTTATATTAACCCCCAAGAGTGTAATAAGAGCCCATTATGAGCGTTAATAAAATATATACCAAACTATAGCTAATGCTCCAAAATTCTAAAAAATGTGCTTTTATCTTTCCTGGATCCATAAATATGGGCCTTTGAACCTGGACAACTCGATTTTGTTTCTGCCGGGGCTTAAGATTTTCTCCTCTGGGTATGTCCAACACCGGCTACGCGAACCAACATTTGATACCTTTCTAAGTATTCTAAGTTTTAGTCACATTTTCGACAGAATTATTTCGAATTTGGATTAGAAATTCGCAAGGGGTACTGCTTCCTATGACAGAAAATTAACTATGCAAGTCCGCGGCTTCATATAGCCCCCGTATAATGGTAACTCCAAACGGATTATTTTAAAGTTAGTATTCAATGTACGTATAGGTACCACTTCCTATATCTGAAGGTCCACATGCATATGATGGTCACATTCTGATATTCCGCATTTTTTCCGATTTTCGACAAATTTTTCAAGAGAATTATCTAAAAATTGGTATCCAGGGAATCTTAATCCGAAAACTTCAAAGAATGTGGGAACTTGCCTCCTCTTTTTTGGTTATTTTGTGTTGTGGAATCTTTACACCCTACAACACTATGTGTTGGGGGTATTATAAGTTTGATTGGGCCAGAATTTATGTAACACCTCGAAATATTGGTTTCCCATATAGGAAAGTATATATGGATCTTCCTAGCTCGCCGAGCTGAGTCGATCTAGCTATGTATGTCCGTCCGTCCGTCTGTCCATGTCTGTCCGATCCTTACGAAATTTTGCACGAAGGTTGGGTTAGGGTCAGAATAGAAGCCTATTTCTTTTGGAGATGATCGCCAAATGTTTAGGGGTTAAAATGGACCAAATACTGAAAAAATGTCGGATTTTTCAGTAGCTGTACAGGTCGCAATTATAGATCAATCGAATTTCGCATGTAGCTAGAGTTTAGGGCGGGGAAGAAGCCTACCAATTTTGGTGGTCATCGGATAATATTTAGCGGGTAAAATAAACCATATCTTTTGTGTTGAAAAAATTCAAACTTTTCATTAAACCGCGAATATTTTAAATCCCGGCGAAATCACAAAGCCATGACAAGGTTACTTCTGATCTTTACATTGATGTTAACATCCAACAAAACGGATATATAGCAAAATATGTGCGATATATATGTTTATCAAAGAAGATATGCTTGAAAAATCTCTTATATGTCGAGAACGGCTGAACTGATTTCGACAGTTCTCATTAATTCAGAATGGCCTCTTGGCAGGAATGAAAAAACGTCTAAAAAATCGCATAAAAATATTTCTCTAAAGATGAAAATATTGATTTTCTAACATTTTCTCATATTTTATCAATTTTGTCATATTTTTGGCATCTTTTCATTTTGAATTAAATATTTTTCAACTAACAAAACTAAGTAGTTAGGATATCAGGATATCATATACAGATCGAATTTATGACCCGATCCGAAATTTTGCATGGGGATAAGATGAGGGTCAGAATAGAAGCCTACTCTTTTTGGAGATGATTGCCATATATTTTGGGGTTGAAATAGACCAAAAAGTGCAAAATTGTCTGCAGGTCGTAATTATCGCCCGATCCCCACGCACATTTGAATGGGGGTTACCGGACAGTGCAAAAGCCAAGCAGTTTTGGAATGCCATCCAAAAATATTCAATGTGTGAATAGTTTGCCAACTTTTGTAGACAAAATACGAAAATGTCCATTCCAGTGACTCTGGAGAATTCACAAATACAGGAAAGGCGCACTTCTGACTATTTCGTTAACGCTGATTTCGTGGAAGAATATAGTCAAATGTCTGTATCTCATAAAGATGCGTTTCAGTCAAAAACCAATAATAAATGTTAATCTTTTGCCACTTCTGAGAGATTATAGGCCTTTGGGAAATATTGGTTCCAGATCTAGGAAGACCATTTACGTGCAACATCTACCAATAAATTGGAAATGAGCAAATTAGTTTAAGTTGCTATCATTCGAAAATTAGAGAACGAAACTTGATGGCTTTCTTTTATTATTTTTCACAATATCTTGTGGAATTCTTTCGAGTATCTCGCCTATATAAACTGTATCGTTTATTATAGTGTTGTAGGGTATTCAACGGTCGGCCCCGCTCGACTGTAGCCTTTGTTTACTTGTTTTGTATGCAGTTATCTTCAGTTTATAACCCAACTTCCACTTATCAACGGGGGTTTTCTTGTAAATAATTAATTTAACTTAATTTTGTAGTATTGTGTTATTAAAACAATCAAAAATTAAATTCGAATGACAATATTTGTGTACCTCCAAATCAACTGTTGAAAGAAAACAATTAAGAGTTCATATTCACGGACGCCTTTTTTAGAGGGTTCTTGTCATGGATAGTTACCACGAAGTTATGAACAATTTGCGTGAAGTAATGTGCCAGTAACGCACGAATAAGTGAAAACTGTTTATGCGTGATTTTTGTCACACGAGAAAAACAAAGTTGTAAAGGAGGATCTGCAAAGGCTCCTGGTTTATCTATTTTGCCTGATTTTCTGTTGCTTTGTTTTCGAGGTGGCGCTGGTGGTGACTGTTAGATGCATGAAGTAGACGATAATGTATAAACTATACTGTGATTGATGATTCCGCAACCTCTGAGAATACATCCGAACCGATTTTAATGTGAAAGTCAATTTATCCAGAAGCACGAAGATCTTTGCATTATTTATAGTTTACTTTGTATATTCGTATTTGACATTGCAGATCCCTTAGAAAGCCATTGATGATGCATTTGGCCTATTCCGATAAAATTTGACATAAATTTAATTTAATTAATGGTGTGCATACATAAGCAGCATGGCATCAAGGCTAGGCATATCAATGTCAAATTATAAGTAAAAAACGGCGGCAGGATTCGAGTGCGTCTCTGACATTCCTTCAAGATATGTCCCAAAATATACCATGCGACTTCAAACTGCTAATGTACCATCAATTTAACTATTTCGATATGAACTTAAGTTG